ACAAGCCAAGTCACAGATTAACCACAAAATAACATAACACAGCTAATACTGGGTTACATATACCTACATTTATTTATTGACGTGACAACGTCTTAAATTAGGTTGCGGCTGGGAGTCACTTATGAAAAAGTGTAACGCTCGGTAACGTTACGATGAGTCTCTCGTGTTAAGTTTAAGTTTACATGTACAATGTTTTAGTAAACAAAATATATTTCTATAGTTAAAATTTGTGCAATTCTTATTTTCATTCAATTCCTTGTTCCTATTGTGCAATTTAATTATATTCATATCAATAAATATTCTACCGAGAAAAAGACGTTGTCACGTAAAATCTTCGCCCGTAAAACCGACTTTACAGGCAACCATTTTTTTTTTTTTAGATTCTGTTCATTTTTGCACTTAGCACTATTTATCTAATTATAAATCTATTAGTATTCTTTATTAAAATTATACTTATTGTTATTTGTATACCGAAACACCGTTTATACGCTCCCGGACTCTTGAATCGAGCCACCTTACATTCCCGGGCCTAAAAGCCCATTAAACAAAATATATACAATATAACTAAAAAGTTTTTATGCATTTTTAATGCTGGCATATTTCATCGTCTTTCCCGTATGTATTATTCCAAATTTGAATTTTAGAATTTAAAATAAAGAACAAAAGCCGAGCTTGGTCACTGATTTGAAAAAAATAATGACTGTTGAAAGTTGCTTTTGAAGCAATTTAATGTCGATTTGGTTTGAATTTTCGCAATTGTTGTAAACCAAATTTAGTTATTTTTCTATAATTTGAACCGTTTTTGGCTATAAAATTATGGATACTTCACCTGAAGTAGCCGCGCAAGCTGTAGCACTTCTTCAATCTGGGCTAAGTCAGCGAGATGTGAGTTCACAACTTCATAAGTCGTTCCGCTGTTCAAAGAGTGTACCACCGATACCTGGAGACTGGCGGCTTCGTTCGGCGAACAGGAGAACCTCGATACCGAGTGACAACAGCGAGACAAGATCAATACATTGTCACTACTAGCTTACGAAATCGACACCTTAACTCTGTTCAGATACAAGAACAGCTCAGGGACTTTCACTGAGTGGCTGTAAGTGCTCGGACTGTTAGAAGGCGACTCAATTAACGTAGTTTAAAGCCCCATAAGCCAGCCCATGCACCCAAATTGACATGAGCATACCGAATAGCCCGTCTAGAGTTTGCGCGCTAACATCTAAATTAGACTCGACATCAATGGAGCCAGGTTCTCTTCACATATGAGTCCAAGATAATGCTATACGGTAATGACGGAAGGAGTAAGGTGTACCGAAGACAAAACGCTATATTGACGAGAAAGTGAGTTATGGTGGAGGATCATGGACAGTCTGGGGAGGAATCTCTATGGAAGGCAAAACTGAGCTAGAGGTAGGGACGGGACCACGACTGCCGCCCCTAGATGGCAATAGATACATTCGCCAATGTTTAGAGAACCACGTGATGCCATATGCTGGATTTATTGGCCAAGATTTCGTTTTAATGCAAGGGCCCATACTGCGGGAAACGTCAGAGAGTACTTAAATGACATTGGTATCACTGTTATGAGATGGCCAGCGCGAAGTCCTGATATGAATCCTATAGAGCATCTATGGAATGAGCTGAAGAGGCGTGTTCGAGCTCATCATCCTGCCCCGCAAACCATGCAGGAGCTCAAAAATGTAATTTTGGAAGAATGGGAGGACATTCCTCAACATGTCATAACGACATTGATTAATTCTATGCCAAACCGTATGAGAGCTGTCATAAATGCACTCGGAGGCAATACAAGTTACTAAATAAACATTTCATTTCATGTAAAACGTGTCTTTATTTAAAAATCGATTAGATTGTTTTCCTTGAAAAAAGCAAATATGGACTGGTTTCAACGTAACTCGACTTTTTTAATAAACTGTAGTTTAAATTTAGAACAGTGGCACTCTAAATGAATGATAAGTATACCAGCTCCAAAACTACATCAAAACATTTTCCTTCTACATACATCTTTTATAAGTTACAGTACTCCAAACAAAAAAATCAAGGTAGCTCGATTTAACTCGATCGAACTATTATCAATAAATTATGAAATAATAAAGTCGACATTCACATGACAGATCAGAATATTTATATATATGAAAAATAGAAAACAACGGTTGCTATGATACACACATGGCAGATTACAAAAATAGGGTTAACAAAATTATAAAGAGTATTTATCAAAAGAATATAAACTCCTTTAACATCCTCCCTTTTTGGCAACCCTCGTTGTATCAAGCCTATGTGCGTAGCAATTGACACAATCCGTGGCTTATGCAATGCCTTAGTTAGCAAATCCGCTAACTGGAACTCGCTGGGAACATACTCCACATGTATTTCACCTTCAGTGACGAGTTCTCTGACATAGAAATGTCTTAGACAAATATGTTTAGTTCTTCTGTGGAGTTCTGGGTTATGTGAGATTTTTATAGCGGCATCATTATCCACCTTGAGCTTGGGAACCTCTTTTAGATCTGAAATCTCGCTAAAAAGTCTTTTAATCCAGACAATCTCTCGTGCTGCTTCATTCGCTGCGACCAACTCTGCTTCGGTGCTGGATATTGCTACACAGGTTTGTCTTCTACTCAGCCAAGATATTGCTCCTCCAGAATATAAGCATATTATCCCTGATGTCGACCGTCCGGTGGTATTGTCTCTACCGTGGTCAGAATCACTATAACAATCCAGAATGCCAGTATTGAAATTCCTCTTATATACTATTCCGTAATCCAAAGTACCTTTAATATATCTTAGGATACGTTTCAGCTTATGAAGATATTCTTTAATCCGCAATCAATCGATGCCCTGAAAGTCAACATAACGCAGGCCATCGCTCAGATTCAGCCGGATCTATGCAGTAGAGTAATTGAAAATATTGAAAAGATCGATCGACGGTTATCATTAGTAAAAAATATATATTTCGAATTGATTTTGAGTTTGAGAAGCAGTTGACTTGGATTTAGGTATTTTTATTTTAGTTAAGGTACAGTTTCATAAAAATTGTGTTTTTTTTTTAATTTCCTACACAGACAATAAAGACTCCTACTCAAATATATTGTGGTAAAGACAGGCAACTATGGAACCCTACACTGCGCGTCGCAAGTCACGCACTTGACCGGGTTTTTTTATAATTGATACTTATACTTATATTGCACATCTTTTATAAAAGTATTCACAGTAGTATTACAATTTTTTGATATGTAATGAAAAATTCAAAAAATTCAAAATTCAATATCGTTTATTCAGTCTAGGCTGTTACAAGCACTTGTGAATGTCGAAAAGCTACGCCATCGGTTCGCAAATCTACGGCGGGAGACCTTGTACTGAGAAGAACCGGCAAGAAACTCAGCAAGGGCTGTTTTTTTCTCCCTGTATTATATACAGAGTCGTCAAATTGAAAAATGACTTCAATATGAGGTAACTCATAAAGTCACTTTTCATTACAAACAAAAAAAAATGCAAATAATATAAAAATTATGACTATAAAATAAAAAATAAAAATATGTAAAAAAAAATGGTTTAAAAAAGTTTAGGAATGACGTGTCCTACCGTTTAGGCAAAAAAAAATAATAATAATAATGAACGATTAAAGTTAAGAACAACGATTAATAGTACCCAGTGAATTAAGAGCAGACTCATCTCCGCTGGCAGCACCCGTTCACGAGCATGACGCATGAACCAGCCATCGCTTCGCTCAACCATTTTTTAGGGAACGCAACGACCCGCCTCACACGACACCACCGAAGAGATTTTTAAGAGAGCATGACTACTCATAACCACACATGGATACTATGTTACTAAAATAGAAAAAAAAAAACATATAGGTACCAGTGTACATTATTATAACAAACTATAAACACAACGGCAGGACACATGCATGTGATTACCTAAACACTGTTGTCGACTCTGGCAATACTCTCCCAACCCAAAACCAAATCCAACATCAGTCCCCCCTTTTCAGTCTGTATAGAGCAATGGTTCCCAACCAGTGGTCCGTGGACCACCAGTGGTCCGCAGAAGCCAAAATATGGTCCGCGAATGAATTCTTTAGCGGGCGCGCCCGCTAAATTCGGTGAGCCGTCGGTCGCCGCGCCGTGCACGCAGCACTCTAGGTCGTTCAGAGCCTCAAGGCTCGGTTGTCATATTCCATATATTTTCGAAGTATCTTGTGTCAGTCGATGACAGTTGACTTGACTCCAAAGTTTTTTATGTTCCAATTTGACGTTAAACAACCGACCTCGTTCCGAGCCTTTGAGCGAGTTAAAAAACAACCAAACAACTACACTTAGGTTGTGAACGTGGCCCAGCGCGTTAGAGTGCGGGTGGAGGGGGCGCGGTACGCGGGGCCGGCCGCCTCCGCGCGTCTCTGCGAAGACGATACAACGTCATTTGTTTTACCTATTTCAGTGTCAGTAATAACACGTAATATTACTTAACTGTGTGAGGAAGTTAATCATTCATTTATTAGTTACCTATTACTGATCGTTGTTCTTAAATTGATATCTTGAAATAGTTCGTAAATACAGGTGAGTGAATATTTTATTTCGATTAACCTTTCTCAGGGTATTAAAAATGATGATTTTCGGGTCGTTATCAAGTAAACGACGTTATCAATACGTATATGTATTATGTATATTTGTTTATTTCATTTTGCTGAATCGTACGTATGGCAAAGTAGTATATTTTTATTTATTCATTTTTGCAAAGAAGCGTAAACTAAATTAAATTTTTGAATTTTTGGTGATTCATCGCGGGCTCGCGGTATTCGAATCCTTTTGCTGGTCACTAAATTTCTTTGTAATGTAAACTAAAACTACCTTTGCTATTATTTCAAAAATATTTTTATGTAAGCTAGCTTAGCACGATCATATTATAGAACTTGATCTTACGCTTTTGTTTTTTCGGTTTGTATTCGGTTTCATTTTTTTGTATCTTATTTTCAGAACATGGCGCCTAAGAGAAAATATGACAATAATTATATAAAATTTGGATTTACCTCGATAGAAAGTAACGGGGAAATAAAACCACAGTGCGTTATATGCGCAACCGTTCTCGCAAATGAAGCGTTGAAACCAGCAAAATTGAAACGCCACTTAGAAACGGTACATCCAGATTTATCTAACCGCCCGCTTGAATTCTTTCAAGGAAAATTAGAGGTCCTAAAAAAAATGAAACTCGGGCCTAGCGGCTCGAGATTTGCAACATCGGAAAAGTTATTAGTAGCGTCGTTTGAGATTTCTAAATTAATAGCACAATCTAAAAAGCCACACACAGTTGGAGAAACACTCGTAAAACCTTGTTTGATCAAAGCCGTCGAAGAAGTTTTAGGATTAGAGGCCAAGAAAAAAATACAAGACATACCTCTGTCCAATAACACGGTCAAAGCTCGAATTGAGCTTATGTCAAGTGATATAGAGGAGCAACTTGTGTCAAGAATAAAAAAATCGCCATTTTTCGCTTTGCAGTGTGATGAGTCGACCGACATTTCAAATTGTTGTCAACTACTTGTATTTGTTCGCTTTTTAGACGACGACAACATAATTAAAGAAGAGTTATTGATTTCACGGGAACTGGACACAACATCAAAAGGTATCGACGTCATGAACTCAATATCCGAATTTTTCGAGAAACATAATCTTATGTGGGATAAACTCGCTGCCCTCTGTACCGATGGTGCTCCAGCAATGTTGGGATCACGTTCCGGGCTGGCGACATTAGTAAAACAGAAAAATCCTAATGTAATTACAACGCACTGTATCATACATCGCCAGGCGTTGGCTTCAAAAACTCTTCCTGGATGCCTCAATGATACACTAAAAATGGCCATAAAAATTGTAAATCTTATTAAAAGCAGCGCCTTAAATACACGACTTTTCAAAAAGTTATGCACTGAAATGGACTCTGATCACGAGACACTTCTCTTTCATACCGAAGTTCGATGGCTATCGAAAGGTAATATGCTGGGAAGATTATATGAACTGAGAGCAGAGGTTGAGATTTTTCTGGGTGACAAAAAAAATAATGATTTGTTGAAACAATTTACTAATCTGGCATGTCAGATGGACTTGGCGTATCTTGTGGATATTTTCACACATTTAAATAAATTAAATATACAACTGCAAGGTTCTGGAAATAAAAACTTAGAGAATGTCGCAAATATATTCATTTTTGAAGATAAACTTCGTGCTTTTATCTGCAAACTTCAATTGTGGTTACGTAAAATTGAAGAAAATAATTATTCTGCGTTTGCGACATTACAATCACTTGTGGAAGACAAAAAGTATGACGCTTTTACAGCAAATATTCAAGAAAACATTAAGACTCATTTACATATGTTGATTGATGAATTCAATCGTTACTTCCCAGAATATAACGAAGAAGCTAATCTTGATCAAAAAATGATTCGTAACCCTTTTAGCACGGACGCTAGTGAAGTTACAGAAGAAATCCAAGAAGAGCTCATTGAATTACAAAATGACAGAAACTGCAAGGATGCTTTTGAATCGAATTCACTTGAGTCATTTTGGTGTAAAAAAGCACTTTCTTATACTAAACTTCGAGAAATCGCCTTACGCTATTTTATCGTTTTCTCAACCACTTATTTATGTGAACAAGGATTTTCTGCTTTGCTGGTATTAAAAAACAAGGCGAGAAATCGTTTGAAAGTAAGTGATGATTTACGTGTGGCTCTGAGTAACAATATCAGTCCTAGGATAGCCGAACTCGTGAAGAAGATGCAAGCTCAGAAATCGCATTAATTTAAAATTACGAAAGTTTATCCTAAAATGTTATTATTTCTTTTTATGTAATTCATATTAGAGTTTGAATTAAAGTTTCAGTTTGATTATTACAGTTTATTTTACTACACTAAAATTTAGTTAATTAATAACTAAATAGTGGTCCCTGCCGAAAAAAACTATGTCAAAGTGGTCCCTGACCAAGAAAACGTTGGGAACCCCTGGTATAGAGAATGACAAGGATACACCGCTGCAAAACCAAGTTCAGGTCTAGAAAAACATACCAGAATCCACACCGCCATTAAATCTTTATCAGAGAAATAATATATGTTCACTTACATTTTGATTGCTGTGTCACACAGTATAAATACAAGTTGTGTAATGTAAAATACAATCAAAATTTAATAATAATTATCATTACAATAATAAAGTAGTATAGAGCAGACTCATCTCCGCTGGCAGCACCCGTTCACGAGCATGACGCATGAACCAGCCATCGCTTCGCTCAACCATATTTTAGGGAACGCAACGACCCGCCTCACACGACACCGCCGAAGAGATTTTTAAGAGAGCATGACTACCCATAACCACTAAAACCAATCTGCAAAATAGTTACTTAGAGGTAAGGTAATTTATCTGTACGACACTGCAAACAAATACAAAACAATTTTGCAGTTACAGCCATGCAGTTTTGTCATTCAAGTATTCTTTAATAGTATAATAGCCTTTCTTAACTAAACAACTTTTAATGTGACATTTGAACTCATTTATGGGTAACTCAAGAACAGCATCAGGAATTTTATTGTAAAAATGTATACCTTGACCCATAAAAGATCGGTAAAGCTTCTGTAACCGTAGGCTGGCAATGCAAGCTTGTTTCTATTCCTAGTATTAAAATTGTGTACGTTACTGTGTTTGGTATACAAATTGATATTATTTTTAACGAGGAGTATGCAATTGTAAATGAATTGAGAAGCAACAGTCAAAATTCCAATTTCTTTAAATTTTTCTCTAAGAGATGTTCGGCTACTCAATTGATAAATCGATCTCACAGCTCTTTTTTGTAAAATGAAAATACTTTCAATATCAGCTGCTGTTCCCCAGAGTAAAATGCCGTATGATAAGATACTATGAAAGTAACTAAAATATACAGTCCTGGCAGTATCTATATCAGTAAGTTGTCTTATCTTTCTTATGGCATAAGCTGCTGAACTAAGTTTACCAGCCAAAAGCGTAATGTGATGACTCCATTGCAGTTTTGAGTCTATCGTTATACCCAAGAATGTAGTCGAGTCTACTAAATCTAATTTTTCATTATTTAATTTAATTCCAATATGCTCAACTTTTACATTAGGTAAGGAAAATTGAATACACTTGGTTTTATTAGCATTTAGCTTTAGATTATTGACATTAAACCATTGCAGAACTTGCGAGAGAGCATTATTCACATCGTCATAGTTGTTTTTGCGCCTGTCAACGTTAAATAATAAAGATGTGTCATCAGCAAATAATACAATCTCACACAAATTTTCACAAAAAATGAAATGTAAAATTAAAAAATACTACGGTGATAAAGAAAAGAACATAATAAAATACAATCAGCCAAATTGGTCAAGCCATGCTCAAGTGCATAGGTAATATAAGTCAGTCATACAATGGCAGTTATGTATTCTAAACCTACTCATAAACATTCGACTTTCTTATTAACAACCCCATATTACCAATTAAGGCCAGCCGGGAGCGAAAATCCACTGGCCCCTATCGCGTTGGACTTCAACAAGCCGGAGATGAGGGTCCTATTCGATTCTCTAGAGCACTCGGATTACCCGTGGTTTCGCTTCTTCTTATTATTTAAAATTAACTAAGGCATTTGTAACAACACAACAGCGCCTACGGCACAATTATCAGAAACGAGGCTCTACAAAAATGTTTACCTTCTACATTAACATTTAAGAGTAGACTAGTAGGCTGGCACTCTACAGCCAGATCATAAGTATTGTCCCACAGTAAAAACTTTTCTTTTAGAATGCTGGCCACAAAAAAAGTTTATTGAATTCGAATTTCGAATTGTTCATGAAAATAAAAATGTATACTTTTTGGAATTTTACTCATCTATACTTATAATAAATCTGTAGAGAGGTCAATTCTGTACATGAAATATATTTTCAAAATAACTATCAGGGGGTGATTAGTGATCGATACTGATGCCAAAAATGCAATCAGTAAAAATTTTGTCTGTCTGTCTGTCTGTATGTATGTTCCTTATAGAAACAAAAACTACTCGACGGATTTTAACGAAACTTGGTACAATTATTCTTCATACTCCTGGGCAGGTTATAGTATACTTTTCATCACGCTACAATCAATAGGAGCAGAGTAGTGAAGGGAAATGTTGGGAAAACGGGAGAAGTTACTCCATTTTTTCAGCTTCCGTCGCGTGTGCAGCCTTAACGGTTAAAGTTACATAGAAATTATGTATGACGGAAATATTCTGCATAAAATTGTCTAAAAAATATCCTGCAACAGCATATGTCTATCTTTTATGGTTGACTCACAATAATACGTGTAACTCCTGATAGCTTAGCAGTTCGGAGCATTCCGATTATATAACGTAAATATGAGAATTTTAGTTTGATTATAAATACAGGTAATTAAAATGACCGTTTTTATCTATCTTTATATATATAATTCTTCTGTGAGTGTGTATGTCACTGAACTTCTCTTAAACGACTGGACCGATTTTGATGAAATTTTTTGTGTGTGTTCAAGGGGATCTGAGAATGGTTTAGATTCACAATTTTGTCCGCTGGACAACCCCTATTTTTTTAGGGCGGTACGAAGTTCGCTGGGTCAGCTAGTATATATATAAAACTCAAAGGTGTTGACTGACATAGTGATCTATCAACGCACAGCCCAAACCACTGGACGGATCGGGCTGAAATTTGGCATGCAGGTAGATGTTATGACGTAGGCATCCGCTAAGAAAGGATTTTGATCAATTCTACGCCCAAGGGGATAAAATAGGGAATGAAAGTTTGTATGAAACTTTGTCAATTTTAAACCGATCGGGCTGAGACTTTGCATGCAGGTATAAGAAGAATCGTAGATGAATGTCATTGTGTATAATGCAAGCCTGAGAACAAAAACTGTAGTCTACACTTCAGCTCTACATCGAAGCGAAGCGAGGGCGGGCCGCTAGTTTTTAAATATAACTTATATTTAAGAACGCTTAAAGAAGACCGTGTTGCAGTTATTGCGTTGCATCGTTGCGGTTACGCGCCAATTAAAATTTTTGACATGCTGAAAAATTTGAATATAACCAAATGATTTGTTTATCGTACCATCAAACGATACAATGAACACTCTAGTGTAGATGACAGGTCAAGGAGTGGTCGCCCTCGGTCTGTTAGGACTCCAGCAGTGATAAAAGCTGTGAAGGCGCGAATTCAAAGAAATCTCAAACGTAGGCAGAAACTGTTGGCCCTTCAGATAGGGTTAAGCAGAACCACGGTGAAAAGGGTATTAAATGAAGACTTAGGGCTTCGGGCATATCGAAGAAAAACAGGAAATCGTTTGAATGCTCGTCTAATGGACCTGAGACTGAAGAGATGCCGCGCTTTGTTGAAGCGTTACGCGGGAAAAAATATGGGGAAATTCTTTTTTCGGATGAAAAAAATTTTACCGTAGAAGAGAGCTACAACAAACAAAATGATAAGGTTTACGCACACAGTAGTGAAGAAGCGAGCAACCGTATTCCGCGTGTCCAACGCGGTCATTTTCCATCCTCGCTCATGGTATGATTGGGAGTTTCTTATAGGAGCTTAACAGAGGTAGATTTTTGTGAGAAAGGTGTAAAAACGAATGCAGTTATGTATCAAAATACAGTCCTGACGAACCTTGTGGAACCTGTTTCTCATACCATGTTCAATAACAGGCACTGGGTATTCCAACAAGATTCGGCGCCAGCTCATAGAGCGAAGAGCACACAAGACTGGCTGGCGGCGCGTGAAATCGACTTCATCCGGCACGAAGACTGACCCAGATTTGAGTCCGTTAGATTACAAGATATGGCAACACTTGGAGAAAAAGGCGTGCTCAAAGCCTCATCCCAATTTGTAGTCACTCAAGACATCCTTGATTAAGGCAGCCGCCGATATTGACATGGACCTCGTTCGTGCTGCGATAGACTACTGGCCGCGCAGATTGAAGGCCTGCATTCGAAATCACGGAGGTCATTTTGAATAAACTTTATTGTCACAAGAATCTATGTTTTGTTCAGTTCATTTTGGTATATATGTTACCGGCCAAACCCGATTTCAGGACAAACTAGTTTTGCCTAGGCTAAACTGGTTCTTCCTATGCGCGATAGGATTAACTAGTATAGCCTAGTCCAAACTAATTTGTCCTAAGCCCGATAGGATAAACCAGTTTAGCCTAGGCCAAACTAGTTGATCCTGATAAAAATACGCATACTCTAGGATAAACTAGTATGGCCTAGTGTAAACATTATAGTATATCTAGAAAGTCAAAATAAATAGATAAACTGAATAAAATAATCCGTAATTGGAAAAATAATATTTTTTATTAAAACCATAATGATTCATCGTTACAAGTTATGGATAATTAGTAATACAAAGAAAAGTAAGAAAAGTTTAATTTTTCTAGTAAACTTTTCTTTAGATTTAAACACCTAGCAGTTAAATGCTTAAAAATAAATAAAAACACTAACTATAATTGCTATTTCTTCTTTCAAATGTTTAATACTTGAAAAAGTATTCATTTGACATTGTGGGTTGCGTGGTTGCAACCTACAATGCGAAGAGATGGCGCTGCCTTGCAGCTTAAGGCTAGGAAAATTTGGACGCGGCGAATAGGGCCGTGGTAGCATAATGGTCAGTGCATTCGCCCGGATTGCGAAGGGTGCGGGTTCGAGTCCGGTCCGCTGCCTGGTTTGCGTGGTTTTTTTTCTAGTAAACTTTTCTTAAAATATTTTGAGTTTACAGTGAGATGAATTGTAAAAG